CCATGCTGGCTGGGGAATTCTGGGAGTTGAAGTCCACCCATCTTCAAGTTGTCAAGGTTGAAAAACACTGTTCTACAGCAACATCAATGTATGTGGCACATTACTGATCCCAGGAATGGACAATTGGGTTAAGAAGGGAATTGAGGACTTAGGAAGTCTTTGGGAGGGGAGTAGAGGTACGTGTCATGTTTGGGAGATGGGACCATGCAGTAAAAACCCATTGATTCCTTGGACCTTCACCACCACCACCACCCAGCCAAAACAACTCCCCATTCTCCAGGCAACATCTCGGGCTGGATTTTCAAGGAGGCAGAAGATCCTTACTTCTGGAAGGGGAACCACCATGCAAACATCTCACCTGAATCAGCTAGAATAGGTTGTAATTCTTGGGCCACAATCTTGGCCAAGCGGGAGGCTTCCAGGGCCTTCTCGGCTGCCCCAAGCGCTGCAGCCGCCTTCAGACGAGCATCTGCAGCCCTGAGGTGGAGATGGAGAGAAAGCTTTGGGATCAATGGGGAAAGAAGGTCCTTTCTAAAACCCCTCCTTCTAGGGTGACCCCTCTGTGATATCCACCCTGAGCTGGTAAATGGTACCCAGCTGGGCTAGGAACATCTCAACCAACGTGGCCTCCATTAATCCTCACTCTTAGGCTCTCCCTTCGAGGTTGATCCTCAGCTTCAGATCTGGACTTGCTGAACCCTTTCCTGTAATTTTCAGAACACGTTGTGGGTTTTCTTCACAACTTTGTTCAACCACAGGAGCCGAAGCTGTTGACTAGCAAGGCTGAGCTTTATGATCCATGCCACAATTAGCATCTATTCCAACGTCTGCCATTTGTCCTGGAATAAATGGCTGGAGGAACCCCCCAAATATTGAAAAACTTGGAAAAATATTTTCACTGGCACATTCCATTTCCATTTTGCCTAGTCTTCTTCTTGTTGTTATTATGATTATTATTTAATGTATTCAACCCAATACATTGGGCAACAGGGCTAGATCACAGGACTTTGATAAGGCATTTCCAGCAGCGACACAAAACTATAATTCTGATGGCTTTGGGGGAAAGCCGAGATCTTTTAATTAATTTGAAACTAGTTTATTTTATTTTTTTTTCCGTTGGTTGGTAGCCTTCCAAATGTCTTGGACTCACTCAGCATGGTTGGGAATTGTAATCCAGCCTGTCTGGAAGACAGATGCAAGGTTTGTTGAGGATAAACGTCTTAATTAACTTTGCCTTATCTTTAGAGGGGGCTTCTCAGAACAGGAGATGAAGCTAAAAACGAATTGGGGTCCCTTCTTGTGAAGTTCCAGGCACTATCTCAGCACGCTATACCATCATAAGGTTTATTGGTTTGGACATACCATGTTATCTGAATATGGCAATTCAACTTCGTTAACCATGTTTGTTAACCTGCCTAATTCATAGAAGCACAGAATTGTGGAGTTGCAAGGGACCAGAAAGGTCCTCTAGTCCAGTGTTTCTCAAACCTGGCAACTTTAAGACGTGTGGACTTCAACTCCCAGAATTCCCCAGCCAACATGGCTGGCTGGGGAATCCTGGGAGTCGAAGTCCACACGTCTTAAAGTTCCTAAGGTTGAGAAACATTGCACCAGAGCATCTTTAACGCAAGGGAAGACAGCTCATGCTCCCTGGGAATCACACCACTGAATTTTGGCAATAAATTCTTAAGAAATAGAGGCAAGATTGCATCCAGTTTTGAAAGCGCGGGGTGGAATTAAAACTTTAAAAGATGTGTATATCGCCTTTTAAGCTTAATGCACCAAAAAAGAAAGTCTGAATCCTTAGACAACCAATTCCCCCCCCCCCCCCCCCCACA